CCCCTGTTACCTAGCAGTAAAATAGGTACCTGGGTGTTAGTCAGCTGTCACGGGCTGCTTCCTGGGGGGGGTGGAGGCCTGGTCGAGGACCGGGCCGCGGGGACACTAAAGCCCCGAAATCATCTGAAGATAACCTCAAGATGGGTGCTTCCCTCTGCCCTTCGCTACCGTAAGACTAGCATGATACTCTATTATCATCATTATCGCCTGTCATTTTTTTTACAAATTATCATGATCGATATCAACGGATGCTGTGATCTTTGAGGTGATCCTGACATGATATCGTGGCTTCAAATACTGGTTATCATGAGGTCGGAGGAGAAGCGTGAGTCTGATGACGATCGAAGAAGCTGAGAAAGATGTTAGAGAAATTAAAACAAGCAGATTTTCAAGGAGGAACTGGACAAGTGTCTGCTGTGTTGACGGAAGCAGCCAGGCTGTGATGGCTGCTTGGGCCTGTGCTCTTAAGAAGATCAGCAGACTCGCAGACAGATCAGGCAATCGCCAGGGAAGTCTGGGGCCAGATTCACGAAGCAGTTATGCAAGTACTTACGAACGTGTACATCTTTCCTCAATCTTTGACGGCTTTGGTTACATTTATTAAACAGTTTACAAGCATGAAAACTTGTCAATCAACTGTTGTTATTGTTATAAACAGCCTCCTGGTGCTTCGGAGCTCATTAACTGGTTAATAACTGGTAAACAAAGCCGCCAAAGATTGAGGAAAGATGTACATGTTCGTAAGTACTTGCGTAACTGCTTCGTGAATCTCTGGCGCCCTGTTACAGGAATGGGGGGGGGGGTAAAATAACTCTCGAAACCACCAGGTTGAGTCTGACTCCAGCAAGAGACGCTTGGGCACAAAAGACTCTGCCCCCCCCCCCCCCTCCCCCCGCCCCCTCCTCCCCCCGCCCCCCCTCCCCCCGCCCCCCCCTGACGTCACCAAGACAGTAACCTTCCTTCACAGTATCATATTTTATCACATTTGCTTAGTCCTTTTTTTGTATTTTTTTTTTTTACTTTGGAACAGTACAATCAATATTTAAACCCGTCAGTTGACCTTTGACCCCGCGACCAGTTTAGTACCCTGCACAGTTTTTGGTTGTGGAGGGGGGGAGGGGGGAGGGGTAATGCCCCACCAGGGTCATGCTCAAGATGGCTGTGATGGCGCCTCTTGTGCCACTTACAGTATGGGGCAGACAGTCGTGTCCTTTTGGCAGAGGTGGTGGTTGGGCGCGCTGGTAGCCTTGTGGCCGGGGACATGTCTGGTTGGTTATGTGGCTGTGTCTTGTTAGAGGAGCGCTGCTGCTGCTGCTGCTACTGCTGCTGCTGCTGCTGCTGCTGCTACTACTGCTGCTGATGCTGCTGCTACTACTACTGCTGCTGATGCTGCTACTGCTGCTGCTGATGCTGCTACTACTACTGCTGCTGCTGATGCTGCTACTGCTGCTGCTGCTGCTGCTACTGCTACTACTGCTGCTGCTACTACTACTGCTGCTGATGCTGCTGCTACTACTACTGCTGCTGATGCTGCTACTGCTGCTGCTGCTACTGCTGCTGCTGCTACTGCTGCTGCTGTTACTACTGCTGCTGATGCTGCTGCTACTACTACTGCTGCTGCTGATGCTGCTACTGCTGCTGCTGCTGCTACTACTACTGCAGCTGATGCTGCTGCTACTACAACTGCTGCTGATGCTGCTACTGCTACTGCTGCTGCTGCTGCTGCTACTGCTGCTGCTGCTACTACTGCTGCTGATGCTGCTGCTACTACTACTGCTGCTGATGCTGCTACTGCTGCTGCTGCTGCTGCTACTACTACTACTGCTGCTGCTGATGCTGCTACTGCTGCTGCTGCTGCTACTGCTGCTGCTGCTGCTGCTGCTGCTACTACTACTGCTGCTGATGCTGCTGCTACTGCTGCTGATGCTGCTACTGCTGCTGCTGCTGCTGCTGCTGCTACTACTGCTGCTGATGCTGCTGCTACTACTACTGCTGCTGATGCTGCTACTGCTGCTGCTGCTGCTGCTACTACTACTGCTGCTGCTACTACTACTGCTGATGCTGCTGCTACTACTACTGCTGCTGATGCTGCTGCTGCTACTACTACTGCTGCTGATGCTGCTGCTACTACTACTGCTGCTGATGCTGCTGCTGCTACTACTACTGCTGCTGCTGATGCTGCTGATGATGATGCTACTTCTGCTGCTGCTGGCTGAGGATAGCCTGCCCCCCTCTGGCTTTGGGTTAGGGGGCTGCGGAGGCCACGGAGCGGTTATCTTGAGGTTATCTTGAGATAATTTCGGGGCTTTTTAGTGTCCCCGCGGTCCGGTCCTCGACCAGGCCTCCACCCCCAGGAAGCAGCCCGTGACAGCTGACTAACACCCAGGTACCTATTTTACTGCTAGGTAACAGGGGCATAGGATGAAAGAAACTCTGCCCATAGTTTCTCGCCGGCGCCCAGGATCGAACCTGGGACCACAGGATCACAAGTCCAGTGTGCTGTCCGCTCGGCTCGGTTGCTTGAGCAGTAGACTGCCTTGCTGCTTAGCACAGGGCAGTCTACTATTGCTATGTATATATCATATTATATTTAAAATATATATAGTATAAACATATGCGTGAGGGAGTACCCTATAGGTAGGGACGGGGAGCGGAATGAAGACGTCCGTGGCCGTTAAGTTAGTACTCTACAGCCTTGACAGTCAGACCTTGAGTTGCTTAGTCTTTTCTGAAACCACCGGGGCCCACACGCTGGGTCCCGGCGTGGGCCCCACCCGTCCCCATCGGGGCCCACCCGGGTACTGGAAGTTGCGTGTGTGTGTGCGTGTGCGTGTGTGCGTGCTGGAGCCGGGGGTCAACAAGCACCTTTGCGTGTCATTCAGCGCACCCGGATATCATCCGTGGCTTCCTGTCTTCTTGTAGGGGGTTCCGGAGTCCACTGTCCAAGCCCCCAGCCCCCCATCTCATCCCTGTTTGATCACACTGTTGCTGTTGGCAGCTTACAGTCCGGCGTAGGAACCAGGGGATGATCAGCTACACTCTTCAAGTGGTAATCCAAGTCATGGTCCGTCAACCCCTTCGTGTTCGGGCCGGGCCGGGGAGTAGAATTCCCAGAACCCCCCCATCAAGCAGGTGTCCACTGGCGAAACCTGTGCATCTTTCCTTAACCACGGGTGGCTTTTTTTGCGTTTATTACAAACAATGGTGAGCTCTAAAACGTTGTTTACAACGATATGTTGTTTGTAAACAACAGTAACAGTAAATACAGTATCCTGGGAACGGTAAATACAGTACCCTGGGGAAACAGTAAATACAGTACCCTTGGTACAGTAAATACAGTACCCTGGAGAAACAGTAAATACAGTACCCTGGAGAAACAGTAAATACAGTACCCTGGAGAAACAGTAAATACAGTACCCTGGAGAAACAGTAAATACAGTACCCTGGAGAAACAGTAAATACAGTACCCTGGAGAAACAGTAAATACAGTACCCTGGAGAAACAGTAAATACAGTACCCTGGAGAAACAGTAAATACAGTACCCTGGAGAAACAGTAAATACAGTACCCTGGGGAAACAGTAAATACAGTACCCTGGAGAAACAGTAAATACAGTACCCTGGAGAAACAGTAAATACAGTACCCTGGAGAAACAGTAAATACAGTACCCTGGAGAAACAGTAAATACAGTACCCTGGAGAAACAGTAAATACAGTACCCTGGAGAAACAGTAAATACAGTACCCTGGAGAAACAGTAAATACAGTACCCTGGAGAAACAGTAAATACAGTACCCTGGGGAACAGTAAATACAGTACCCTGGAGAAACAGTAAATACAGTACCCTGGAGAAACAGTAAATACAGTACCCTGGAGAAACAGTAAATACAGTACCCTGGAGAAACAGTAAATACAGTACCCTGGGGAAACAGTAAATACAGTACCCTGGAGAAACAGTAAATACAGTACCCTGGAGAAACAGTAAATACAGTACCCTGGAGAAACAGTAAATACAGTACCCTGGAGAAACAGTAAATACAGTACCCTGGGGAACAGTATTAAAACAAATTAAAACAAACAAAATCCTGGGAAAAGAGAGCTTTTCACTTGGGAGGATTACTGGGGTGGATTGATGTGTTTGGGCTCGCTGGTGTTGGCAAGTTAATTAACTATATTCCCACATGTCTAGTTAATTGTTTCGTACACGTGTTGTGTACACCATGGTTCTCAGTATGTTGTGTACATCATGGTTCTCAGTATGTGGTGTACACCATGGTTCTCAGCATGTGGTGTACAACATAGCTCTCAGCATGTGCCGGAGAGTGTTGCAATATCTGCGTATATTAAGTGGGCATTCTACTTGCCTGCCAGGCCACTGAAGACCCCCAGGTCCAGCAGACCCCCAGGTCCAGCAGACCCCCAGGTCCAGCAGACCCCAGGTCCAGCAGACCCCCAGGTCCAGCAGACCCCCAGGTCCAGCAGACCCCCAGGTCCAGCAGACCCCCAGGTCCAGCAGACCCCCAGGTCCAGCAGACCCCCAGGTCCAGCAGACCCCCAGGTCCAGCAGACCCCCAGGTCCAGCAGACCCCCAGGTCCAGCAGACCCCCAGGTCCAGCAGCGTCCTGCTCTGAACCCCAGGTTGCTGTGATGTGTGTACACGAATGAATAATGAGTACTTTAGACACGACTCTCAACCCGTCCGCAGTGTTCGTCCAAGCGGTATAGCCATTCGTAAACGCATACCCCAAGACGTATTCGTAAACGTATACCCCAAGACGCATTCGTAAACGTATACCCCAAGACGTATTCGTAAACGTATACCCCAAGACGCATTCGTAAACGTATACCCCAAGACGTATTCGTAAACGTATACCCCAAGACGCATTCGTAAACGCATACCCCAAGACGTATTCGTAAACGTATACCCCAAGACGCATTCGTAAACGCATACCCCAAGACGTATTCGTAAACGCATACCCCAAGACGTATTCGTAAACGTATACCCCAAGACGCATTCGTAAACGCATACCCCCAAGACGCATTCGTAAACGCATACCCCCAAGACGCATTCGTAAACGCATACCCCCAAGACGCATGCGTAAACGCATACCCCCAAGACGCATTCGTAAACGCATACCCCCAAGACGCATTCGTAAACGTAATTAACATTTTGTGTATAGTTAGGGGTTAAGATAGGATACGGTGGGTATATTTTTTTGTCGCCAGTTACTAGAGAAAATGTTTTTAATTACACAATGCTTTAAAATTTGTGAATGTGTCTTTGGGAGTCGACGGGAGCTTGGACGAGCACAGTCCCTGACGATCGTTTGAAGGCTTGGGGCTCGTTGGTGCCCCTGGGAGATCTAGTGGTTCCGCATTCCCTCACGCACCTCGGGTATTTTACGGTTGGTTTGTTGAAGGTGTTTTGCCGTGGCGAGCACTAAGGCTCTGGGGCTAGATTCGCGAAAGCACTTACGAACGTGTACACCTTTCCTCAACGGCTTTGGTTACATTTATTAAACAGTTTACAAGCATGAAAACTTCCCAATCAACCGTTGTTATTGTTATAAACAGCCTCCTGGTGCTTCGGAGCTCATTAACTGTTTAATAATTGTAAACAGAGCCGCCATAGATTGAGAAAAGATGGACAAGTTCGTAAGTGCATGCGTAACTGCTTCGTGAATCTGGCCCCAGGTTGGTAAGTTCTTGCGTAAGTGCTTTCGTGAATCTGGCCCCTGATGTGTTAGTGTGTGCGGGTACTGTGCACATTGGGTGTACGAGCATCGTGATGGTGTATGAGACAGTATGCCTATCATACTAGCAGTGATTGGCGAGTTGGGTTGCTGAGTTTAGGCACCAAAACCAGCTTTTAAATGAACTGAAAAACCAGTATGCAATTGTTTCCTGCCTACAAAAATTAAAATATGTACGAATCAAAATATCCTTCATATTCGTATAGCGTTCCCACCCAACCGGTCGGTCGGCCGAGCGGACAGCACGCTGGACTCGTGATCCTGTGGTCCCGGGTTCGATCCCGGGCGCCGGCGAGAAACAATGGGCAGAGTTTTTTTCACCCTATGCCCCCTGTTACCTAGCAGTAAAATAGGTACCTGGGTGTTAGTCAGCTGTCACGGGCTGCTTCCTGGGGGTGGAGGCCTGGTCAAGGACCGGGCCGCGGGGACACTAAAGCCCCGAAATCATCTCAAGATAACCTCAAGAACACCACTGATCAACCAAGTGTGTCAACCTCGCTTCTTGCAGGGTGGAGGTTCGAGCCCCATTAATCCAACTGGTTGGGCACCTTCGAGGCAGACTAAGTTAGACGTGGTTCAAGTTCAAGTATGTTTATTGAGATAAGAAAGAAATACATCTCAAAAGGATAGAGTAGCTTAGGCTATTTCTACCCTCCTCGACGCGGTTGTTGTTGTTATAGATTCAGCTACTCGGAACAAGTTCCAAGTAGCACGGGCTATGGTGAGCCCCTAACTTACCTGGCACAGGAGCGGGGCAAGTAGCACGGGCTATGGTGAGCCCGTAGACGCGGTAAAGTCTTTCATTATAATCACAGAGAGGTTCTGTTGGTGTGTTGATTGAGAGGCTGATTGCGTGCACCTCTTTGCACGCAAATGTTTAGAAATGTTTAGAATCATTTATAAAAATTTTAAAGTTATCTTACCTTTACATGATTCCTAGGATGAATGTCCCCGCGGCCCGGTCTCTTGATCTGGTGGGTTTTACTGGTCAACCAGATTATTGGACGCGGCTGCTCGCATCCTGATATATGAATCACAGTCTGGTTGATCAGTTGTGTTTTGAAGGTGTTCTCAAGTTCTCTCTTGAACATTTCGAGAGGTCAGCCAGTCGTGCAGCCCATACATGCAGTGGGAGAGTGTTGAACAGTCTCGGGCCTCTGATGTTGATAGTTCTCTCTTGAACACTGTGAGGGGTCGGCCAGTTATGTTCCTTATGTGTAATGGAAGCGTGTTGAACAGTTTCGGGCCTCTGATGTTGATAGTTCTCTCTTGAACACTGTGAGGGGTCGGCCAGTTATGTTCCTTATGTGTAATGGAAGCGTGTTGAACAGACTCGGGCCTCTGATGTTGATAGTTCTCTCTTGAACACTGTGAGGGGTCGGCCAGTTATGTTCCTTATGTGTAGTGGAAGCGTGTTGAACAGTCTCGGGCCTCTGATGTTGATAGTTCTCTCTTGAACACTGTGAGGGGTCGGCCAGTTATGTTCCTTATGTGTAATGGAAGCGTGTTGAACAGTCTCGGGCCTCTGACGTTGATAGTTCTCTCTTGAACACTGTGAGGGGTCGGCCAGTTATGTTCCTTATGTGTAATGGAAGCGTGTTGAACAGTCTCGGGCCTCTGATGTTGATAGTTCTCTCTTGAACACTGTGAGGGGTCGGCCAGTTATGTTCCTTATGTGTAATGGAAGCGTGTTGAACAGTCTCGGGCCTCTGACGTTGATAGTTCTCTCTCAGAGTACCTGTTGCACCTCTGTTCTTCAACGGGGGTATTCTGCACATCCTGCCATGCCTCCTGGTCTCATGTGCAGATCTGGAACCATTCCTTTGAATTTTTAAAATGTAATTTTACAATTTTTGTTTATAAACAAAATTCCAAATGTGTGCAAAAGTTACGAAAGTTTACAGAGGGGTTCGAAAAGTTTACAAACTGTCCAAAGGTTTACAAAAGGTTTCAAAGTCTTACAAAATGAACGGAAAGGAGGCTGAGGTGTGGAGCAAGGGGTACTGAGGGCCACACCTTGTCTTCCCATTAAATAATGGGTTCTTAAGTAGAATGAGTAATGATAGTTCTTACAACTGCCCGCGTCCTTGAAAACTAACAACTCATGTTTGTGTGTGTGTGTGTGTGTGTGTGTGTGTGTGTGTGTGTGTACTCACTTAGTTATGCTTGAGGGGGTCGAGCTTCGGCTCTTTGGTCCCCGCATCGCAATTGTCAGTCGACCTGTACAGATTCCTGAGCCTACTGGGTTCTATCATATCTACATTTGAACCTGTGTATGGCGTCTGCCACCACCACATCATTTCCTGATGCATTCCTAATTGTGTGTGTGTGTGTGTGTTTGTGTGTTTGTATTTACTGTTTGTGCCTGCAGAATCGAGCTATTAAATCTTGGACCCCGCCTTTCTAACGGATCTATTTTCCCCTCTATTTTCCCTCTATTTTCCCTCTATTGTGTGTTATCTCGCCCTTTTCTCGAAGGGGGTGGTTATATTGGCCTAAAAATGTTATATACTCTAAAAAATTTATATACTCTGTTTTAATCTGCCTTCTGCCTCCGCTTTGCTACGTTCAGGACTTTTGTATTCAGTGACTGCCTTACTGGTTGGATGCGTTCCGGGTTCGACGCGTTCCGGGTTGGATGAGTTCCGGGTTCGACGCGCTCTGCGTTGCATACGTTGCCTTGTTGTTGTTATAGATTCAGCTACTCGGAACAAGTTCCAAGTAGCACGGGCTATGGTGAGCCCGTAACTTACCTGGCACAGGAGCGGGGCAAGCAGCACTGGCTATGGTGAGCCCGTAACTTACCTGGCACAGGAGCGAGGCAAGTAGCACGGGCTATGGTGAGCCCATAGTGGCTTACCTGGCACAGGAGCGGTGCTGTTACACATATGTTTTCTGACATATATGCGTGGTATGTACATTTGGTGGTGGTTATAGAGTCGCCAGGCCCCCGCTAGTACCCCCGGGCTGTGGGTTCGTACCCTGAAGCCGTGAGGGTAGTAGCGAGACCTTGGGGGTCGTAGCGAGGCCTTGGGGGTCGTGTGTATGCTGACTGCAGCTTACAACAGCTGCCTTGCACACGTATATGGGGGAAAGGCTGTCTCCCGCTCTGCATGCTCAACGATCAGATGCGATATCTTGCTGGAGGCCTGATAGCTGAGTGGACAGCGCTTGGGATTCGTAGTCCTGAGGTTCCGGGTTCGATCCCCGGTGGAGGCGGAGACAAATGGGCAAAGTTTCTTTCACGCGGATGCCCGTGTTACCCTAGTAAATACGTACCTGGGAGTTAGACAGCTGGAACGGGCTGCTTCCTGGGGATGCGTAACAAAAAGGAGGCCTGGTCGAGGACTGGGCCGCGGGGACGCTAAGCCCCGAAATCATCTCAAGCTATCCATCTCCACCTGGGAGAGCATTTGGGGCGGGGGGACTATCTATCCCCCCCACCTTGGAGAGGCTGTGGGGGGTGGGGGTGGGACGGGAGCTATCTATCCCCCACAGGTTACACAGCTCTGGTAAGCATCACTACATACCCAGGCTCTAACGTGGCGTTCATTGGCTACACTCCTCCACCAAGGCCGACGCTTGTAGCCAGTCACTGCCTGGTACCTGGCACTGGGCGCTGACGTGCCAACCCCCCCCCCCCCCCCCCCGGCACCATCCTCCCCCCCCCCCTCCCTCACATCACCTCTACCCGCGTCGGCACTCGTAAATGTGAGCATAAACTGTAAGCCAACGTTCTCTGAAGTAGTACTGGTGGCGGTCATCCTTATATCTCTGGGATTATATCTCCCTTAAAGCTGAGGTAGCGGAGGGGGGGGGGCAGGGGCCGTGGTCAGGGGGCTGCAAGGGACCATGGTCAGGGACATTCAGGAAACGTCCTTACAGGGACCGTGGTCAGGGACATTCAGGAAGCGTCCGCAAATGTTACCCGGAGAAGACCTGTTCTTCGTCTCAAATCCCCGGGTCTACCCAACCTTCCGTCAGATCGCACTCAGTCACCATTTCTCCCTCTTTTCCCCTCTTTTCCCCCTTCTTTTCCCCCCTACCTATTTAATTGTCAAACTTAAATGCTCCCGCCTCTGTGGAAGCCTTCGTTAAGAGTGGGTGAATAGCGCAGTAGTCAGCACATGTGAGTCACAACATGGAGGTCCTGGGTTCGATACTCGCGCTAAGGCATAAATGCTTGGGCACGTTTCTTTTCGCCTGATGCCTCTGTTCGGTCAATTGGTACCTTGGAGTTAGGCAACTGTTGTGGGTTGCATCCTGGGGGAAAGTCGGTCGTTTTAGGAGGACCTGGAGAAGGCCTGACAGGCTTCCTGGCCCTGACAATGGGGGAGACAATTAAGTTTTTCTCGTGCTGGGAGAACATGGGAGGTAGAGGTAATGACACCAAGGGC